GGGGTGAGTGGTCCTGGTCAGTTGGGGGGGATTGGGGATGGGAAGGGGTGAGTGGTCCTGGTCAGTCTGGGGGGATTGGGGATGGGGAGGGGTGAGTGGTCCTGGTCAGTCTGGGGGGATGGGGATTGGTGAGTGGTCCTGGTCAGTCTGGGGGGATTGGGGATGGGAGATGGGGGTGAGTGGTCCGGGTCAGTCTTGTGGGGTTGGCGGGGTGGGGAGTGGCTGTCGTTTGTCAGTCTTGGGGTTTTGCTGTCTTACGCTGACCTTGTTCTTTGGTCATGAACTTCCAGACTGGGCTCACTTTCTCTCTGATTCTCTCTGAGTTTGGGGGAAGCTGGGATTTTATTGGAGCTTCAAGTTTTGGGCACTGATCAGTCCAAATGAAGGCAGGTCCCAGTGATCCATTGTAACGTCTCCGTGACTACTTTGGAAACTCGGGCAGTATGAGAGTCACTGTGATGTGACTGGGTGCTGAGTCAGTTTTTCAGGGTGTGTCACATCAGCCTAGAAAAACTAGTCTCTGTCTCACAGTAAGGGATATTTGTGTGTGTGTATACGTGTGTGTGTGTGTGTGTGTGTGTGATGAGTGTGAAATGTAGGTGTAGTCAGTCTGTGCTGATGCTGGGAGCAGGGCTGGAACACTCTCCTCAAACCCTCCCCGTTCTGCTCCTCTCCTGCTCTTACTGGGGTTTTGTTTCCAGCTTCACTGTCAAGAAGCAGCAGCACACTTTACACCCAAATCCCAATGGCCAGAAATTTCTAAAGTAGAAAGCGAAACAGAAGTTGCTGGAAAAGCTCAGCAGGTCAGGAAGCATCTGTGAAGAGAAATCAAAGTTAACATTTCAGTCTGGTGTCCCTTCCTCAGAACTCAGTGTCAGATTTGTGCTCAGTAAGATCCCTCCAACTAATGAAAGATTAATTTCTAGATAATTCAGAGCATCTTATGAGGACAGCATAGAGGAAGTTTTACTTTCACTTTAAAAGAGTAGAGGGAGCTTTACCCTTATTTAACCCGGTGCTCTCCCTGTCCTGGGAGGTGGACGGGTTTGTGCAGAGTTTGATGTTGAAGCTGAACAGATCGGCGAGAATGTGAGGAATGTGAGAAATGTGAGATGCGCCTATTGAGGACGTTCCAGTGTTACCTGATTCGGATACTCGCTGTGTACTCAGGGCAATTAGCTGTTGTAACAAGTCTGGCCAGTAATGTGTTCCTTTCCTATCAGTCCCTATGTGACCAGTAATGGTCAGATGTACATGATGCTGTGGGTTTTCATCAGTTCCCTCGACACATGCTGCTTGATCCTGATGCACAGCCCTGGTTAGAAGTGAAAAGTGCAACTAAACATGAGACCATTTGGTTGTCTTTGTCTTCAATTGTACTGAAGTTCTGCCTGAGTCCCACTCAGGCCTGAATTGGACGAATAGGTTTGGATCTGGATTCTGATTCTTTGCTGCACACACGATAATGTTTCATGCGTAATTGAATTGTCGAACAACTTCCTGTGTCTCAGTTTCCCTCCCCATCCTCTATCACCAAGGCCCCTTTGGATTCCCTACGTTAAGATTGCCAAATTCACCCCTCCCTTGCTCACCAGCTCCTGAAATGCTCACCAAAGCTCCAGTCTCCTCAATTCCAGATCTCTCTAGGCCACGTTCCATATTCTAATGGCAGTGAGCTCGCTCGAATAAGGAACGACAGTAGGCCACTCGGCCCTTCGAGTCTGCTCCTCCATCCAATGGCTGATCTGATTTTGACCTCAACCCTACATATCTCCCGATAATCTTTCAACCCCTTGGTAATCAAGAATCTATCGGCTTCTGCCTTAAAGATATTCTGCACCCACTACCTTTTGAGGTAAGGAAATGTGTGCTGCCCCTACCGTAACATATCAGCACATCCAGTTCAGGAACACCTCAACTTTAAAATGCTTACCCTAGATTTCAAATCTCTCTGTGGTCTAACCCCTCCCTATCTCTGTACCTTCCAGCCCCTATGACCCTCCTCCTCACTATCTCACCATTCTCTCCATTCCTCTCACTCTGTTGTCTCAACTATTCCTAACGTTCGTGGGTGTCCCTTTAGCCCACACCTTGACCAAAACCTGCCTCTTTATTTGAGTCTTGCTTTCTGTTGCTGCAGCCCATACACACATTTCCCCTGCCTGTGTGCAGTGTTTTGTGAGCTCTTGATATGGTGTTTACATATTGTCAGGGCTGGGTTTTTCAATATGAAAGTTACATTTCCTGAGAAATGGATGGAACTGTCTCAGGTAGATTCTAACTCTTTCACTTGGCCTCACACAGGGCTCTCCTTCTTCCTCTGCTGGACCTGCAGCCCCCATCGCAGAATTTGCTGCTGCTTGTGGACTCCATCGATGAAGGGGAGATCTTCAAAGATTCCGACTGGAAGCCTTCTGGGAAGAGTGGGACCATTGCTGAGCTTCTGTCCAATCACCAGGAGCTCTTCCCATCCTGGTTACTCCTGGTGTGTTCAGCTCGAAAACAAAACAAAGAAATTAGCAGAATGTTTTCAGGTGAGGATTGTCCAGGGGAGGTTTATTGAGGAGTTCAGAATGGCAGAAAGTTTTAGCAGGAGACCCTGTTCTCAGGGGCAGGAGGGTTGGTCGCTAAAGGGTCACAGGTTGAGGAGAATCAGCAAAAGAATGTGAGTGGGGGATACGGATAGTTTTTGATGCAGTGGGGTGTAATGATCTGGAACATGATGCCTGAAGGGAAAGTGGATTCAAGTAACTTTTTGAAGGGAATTAGAGAAATAGCTGAAAGGAAAACAACTGCAGGACTGTGGGAAAGAGTAAGGATAGTGCGGTGAATTGTATAGTTCTTTCAAAGAGTTGTCAAAAGGCAAAATGGGCCAAATGGCCTCCTTTGCAGGTTGGATTGAGTGAGTTGCATGTGGTCTAGTTAATGTCCTGTCCATGTTTAACATGACCATTTTGCAGGAACCAGCAGCAAATGACTCATTTTACCTGTTTTTCTTCTGGCAGGTTTCAGGAAAATTTGCCTGGATGATCTCCGTAAATCCCACATTGTGAAGGATGTGCAGCAGTACATTCTGTGCCGACTGGACCAGGAGGTAGCTCTGAGGCAGCACCTGACCCGTGACACTGCAGAGATGTTAAACCAGCTTCACATTAAGAGCAATGGGTGTTTCCTGTACTTGGAGAGAGTGTTGGATGGGGTGCTGGATAATTTTATCATGCTGCGTGAGATTCGTGATATTCCTGGCACCCTCAATGGCCTCTACCTTTGGCTGTGCCAGCGACTCTTCACCCGCAAGCAGTTCACCAAGATCCAGCCAATCCTCAATGTGATGCTGGCTGCCCAGAGACCTCTGACTCCCCAGGAGTTGTTTGAAGCTGTGTGGACCAAGGGCACTTGCTTAACAGCCAATGATTTCCAATGCAAGATGGAGATGTTGTCCAAACTTCTGCTGGATGGGGAAGGTGGCACCAAAATTGTCTTTCACCACAGCTTTGCTGAATGGCTGCTGGATGTTAAGTATTGCACTCAGAAGTACCTGTGCAGTGTGGCACAGGGGCATGCCATGCTCGCCATGGCTCTGACCTGCCATGCCAAGGAACTGACAGCTGCCCAGGTACAAGAATATGCCTGGCACCTCGTCCACTCCCGGCTCCAGACTGAGCCTTGCTGCCTGGCGCTCTGGATGCTGTGGAGTGGGGCACCAGTCAGCCGAGACTCCCTGGCCTCCATCTTGCTGGTGGAGCAGGAGGTCCTGCAACTGCTGGTCAAAGCTGGTGCCTATGCCACTGACCAGGAGGGAGCAGATTCCTCGGGGGTCATTCACCGCGCACTGGAGAGGGAGGACTCCATCCGAATGCTGCTGGAGAACGGGGCGAGTGTCCACCAGCGCGATTCGAGTGGGCGCACACTGCTCGCCAACGCAGCTTACAGTGGCAACCTGGAAGTGGTCAACCTCCTGCTGTCCAGGCAGGCCAACCTAGAGACTGAAGACCACCAAGGACAGACCCCCTTAACCCTGGCAGCTCGCATGGGTCACGCTAAAGTCCTTCACTGCCTGATTTCACACGGTGCCAACATCAATCATGCTGACCAGGAAGGCTGGACTGCACTGCGGTCAGCAGCCTGGGGAGGGCACTCTGAAGCAGTGACAGTGCTGCTGGAGTCTGGGGGCGCTGAGGTGGACAGTGTGGACACTGACCATCGCACAGCACTACGGGCTGCCGCCTGGGGTGGACATGAAGACATCGCCCTCACCCTGCTGCGACATGGGGCTGAGGTCAACAAGGTGGACACAGATGGACGCACTGCGCTGATTGCTGCTGCCTACATGGGTCACCGGGAGATGGTGGAGATCCTGCTGGACCATGGTGCTGACATCAATCACCGGGATGCAGACGGGCGCTCGGCACTGTCCGTGGCAGCACTGTGTGTGCCCGCCAGCCGGGGCTATGCCAACGTAGTGAGCCTGCTTATCGAGCAGGGTGCAGAGGTCGGGTACCGGGACCGCGATGGCCTGACCCCACTCCTGGTGGCTGCCTATGAAGGTCACGCAGACGTGGTGGATCTGCTGCTGGAAGGTGGAGCCGATGTGGATGAAGCAGACTCCACTGGGCGTACACCGCTCCTAGCTGCAGCTTCCATGGGTCATGCAGCTGTTGTCAATGCTCTGCTTTTCTGGGGTGCGGCTGTGGACACCATCGACAGTGAGGGTCGAACCGTACTGAGCATCGCTGCTGCTCATGGCAACACTGAGGTGGTGCAGACCCTCCTGGACAGAGGTCTGGATGAGAACCACCGTGATGACATGGGCTGGTCACCCCTTCACATGGCCAGCTTCGAGGGTCACTGCTCTGTCTGCCTGGCACTGATTGAGCAGGGTGCCAGGGTGACAGAGGTGGACAATGATGGAAGGATCCCAGTTATCCTGGCAGCTCAGGAAGGCCATTGCCAGTGCGTTGAAGTCCTGCTGGAACATAAATCTCCTGTGGACTGGCGAGGCTACGATGGGCGGACAGCGTTATGTTCCGCAGCTCTCGAAGGTCACAAGGAGGTGGTGAAGATGCTGTTGAGCAAAGGGGCCAGTGTAGACGTGAAGGATGCAGACGGGAGGCCCTTGCTCTACCTCCTGGCCTTGGACAGCCAGATGGAGATGCTTCAGCTGCTCCTGGATGAAGGAGCTGCTAATCTTGAGGCACAGGACATGGAGGGACGGACAGTACTGCATGTGTGTTGCTGGCAGGGCACCCTGGAGCTGGTAAAGTTACTGGTCAAGTACGGAGCAGATGTGAACGCCTTGGACAATGACCATCGCTCAGCCCTGCATTCAGCAGCCTGGCAAGGCCATTCACCTGTGGTGCAATTTCTGATTGAAAGTGGGGCTCGTGTTGATCACGCCTGTAACCAGGGAGCCACCAGCCTCTGCATAGCCTCACAGGAAGGTCACACAGAGGTGGTAAGGATTCTTGTGGAGAAGGGAGCAGATCCTAACCATGCTGACTCATATGGCCGCACCCCAATGAGAGTGGCAGCCAAACGTGGGCAGACAAAAATCATGAAGTTGTTGGAGAAATTTGGTGCACCAGCATTCAATGGCTATTTGGCACCAGCACCTGGGCAGAAAGGGGAGCTACAAACTTCCACGGTGAAGACTCTGTCCTCTGGTACATCCAACAGCTCGGGAAGTCCCAGTGTGGTGGCTGGGGAGATGCTTTCTGCCAACCGCACGGTCAGTGAAAGAAAACAAATAGTGGCAACAAGCTCTCCCTCTGGGTCCCCAGACTCCACTGTGGATCATCGCAAATCTCTCATGTCCAACAACTCTCTGAAAAGTTCCAAAAACTCCTCCATTGTCACCTCATCCACCTCCCATTCTCTAGCCACTGACCAGACGGTGCCCATCGATAGCTTGACCTTCACTCAGCAGATCCAGCAACATTCTCTGCCGCGCAGCCGCAGCCGACAGTCCATCCTCACCTCCCCTTCGTCAACACTGGTCAAACCCAAAGCCAACTCACAGACCAGTGCCATATCAGAGGCAGTAAAGAGCCCAAGTAGGCACGGAGGGAGCACACCCTTATCGAGCCCAGCGCTGGGCATTGAGCTGACAGAGACCAGCCCCAAGGGCAAGAAGGGACCATCAGGGAAGGTTGCTGTGACCGGTGTTCCAGAGCAGATTTCCAAAGCGGAAATCACCAAGAGGAGCTTACAGATTGGATCACCACTCATTACGTCAGTTGACAACAACAAACTGCATGTCGAGCGGGAGGCCTCTCCCTTCTCTTGGTACTGTGACAAACAAACTATGTCCTCAGGGCTGGAGGAGAAACAGAATGGAATCCTCGGCAAGTCCCATGGCAGAGGTCCCAGGAGCCCAAAGCCATCTCCCCAAAAGCTGAACAGCACCAGTGCAGTAGAGAAAGTGATGATGGAACCATTGATCACAATCACGACCCTAGATCCTGAACTAAATCTCAAACAAGCTATCAAACTTCAATTCGAGGGTCCAACAAGTGGCTTTAATTACAAGAAGGAAACGCCTCTATGAGGGGTAAGCTGTTAGTGTGTCATTGACTGGCTGGATGTCTTACTCTGGCTGTGCTAAGCCAAAAGACACCAGAGCTGAAGGAAGTCATTCAGTCCATCAAGTCTACTGTACCACTCAGTGAGATCATGGCTGATTTGATAATCCTCAACTCCTATTTACTGTGTTTTCCCCATAACCCTCGATTCCGTTCCTGATCAAAATTCTGTCTTAGCCTCAAATATACTTCACGACCCAGTCTTGCAGCCCTCTGCGGTAAAGAATTCCACAGATTCACTCCCCCACCTCCCGAGAGGAAATTCCTCCTCCTCTTTGTCTTAAATGTGTGACGCCTTACTGAAATGATGGTCTGTGGTCCTAGACTCTCCCACAAGGGGAAACAGCTTCTCGGCATCTGCTGTGTCAAGCCCCCTAATAATCTTGCATGTTGCCAGAAAGTCTCCTCTCATTCTCTTAAACTCCATTGAATAAAAGTCCAATCTCCCCTCAGAAAGAAATCCCTCCATACCCAGAATCAGCCACGTGAACCTTCTCTGGACTGTCTCCAAGGCCAGTTTATCTTTCTTTGGATAAGGCACCGCAGCTGTTCATCGTATTCCAGTTCTAGCCTGATTCGTGCCTTGTAAAGTTCCAGCAAACTGTCCCTATGTTTACGCTGCCTTCCCTTTGAAAGAAAGGCCATTATTCCATTCTTCCCTATTACTTGGTGAACTTGGATGACAACATTTTGGGATTCGTGGTGGAGGACTTCCAAATCCCTCAATGCTGCAGCTTTCTGTGGTCTTTCTCCATTTAAATAATCAGTTTATCTATTCTACCTGCCAAAGTGCATCATCTCACATTTTCCCACATTATGTCTCATCTTGCACGTTTTTTACTCACTTGTTTAACCTGCCTATAGCCCTCTGTAGACCCTTTATGTCATCCTCACTACATGCCTTCCCCTGTAATTTTGTGTCATTAACAAACTTGGCGACAGTACATTCACTTTTCTCATTCAAGTGATTAATATGCATTGTAAATAATTGCTCTGATTCTTGGCCTTCCACTAATTACAGGTTTCCAGCCCGAAAATGCCTCCCCACATCCCAACTCTCAGTCATATGTTAGTTAGCCAATCGACTGTCCATGTCAAACTACTCCCAACTCCATGGCCTCTAATCTTATTAAGTAGACTTATGCGGGTATCTTATAAAATGCTTACTCAAAATCCAAATATATTACATCCACTGGTTCCCTTTTACTTATCCAGCTTGTTACTTCCTCATGGCGTTCTTGGTGTTACACTAAATATGGTTGGGTATGTCTGACTGGGTATACAGCCGTCTGGACCAGTAGTCTCACAGCACTGGCCCTCCGACAGTGCGGCGCTCCCTCGGCACCGACCCTCCGACGGTGCGGCGCTCCCTCAGCACTGGTCCTCTGACGGTGCGGCGCTCCCTTAATACTGTGCTGAGTGTGTTGAACTTTTTGTTATTTTTCTGAAGTGGGGTTGAAACCCATGACCATCTATTACAGAGAAGTGAGTCAGACACTGAGGAAGAAACAGCTTCCACTCACCTTGTTTTGTCTGTACTTTTCTCAGGAAAGCTTCTGGTGACTGGCTTGATTGCAGAGAAAGTCGCTGCACTAGGTTCGGACTCCCTGGACTTGAAGAAATATTGTTCTGTGCCATGGGATGGACCTTCTGAGATTCCAGGAAAGGCAGCAGTATTCATCAGGCTCAATTCTCTGGGATAGCACTACATAATTCAGGAAAAGGACTGACCTCTTCCTCATCATATCAATGTATAATTCTGTGAATATGCATTGCAGTCTGCTTTGTTTAATGGCCTACATCTGCTGTAAAACAGTGTGTACAGTATTTGGGTCTTTTCCTGATGCAATCGGGATACAATTTTTATTTTTCTTAATTTTATTTCCTTCAGCGTTAATACTTATGCGAAGTGAGTGAAGAAGGTCAGTGGGATTTGTCCTAATCCTTCACTGGAGTGGATACCCCTTCCCCCTACCCTTCTGGATAGTGCCCTCTGACCTCCTGGTCAGGATATTGGAGTTTAAACAATGTTCGATATAAGCAGGTTCATCCGAGTCTGGGAGCACAGTCACGCTGTACCATTGGTGATGATGGAAAACCACCTACTGTGTCCTGTATTATTCTCCACATCCCATAATATTTACAAGCTGTGCTGCTGTTACTATTATTATAATGGTATATATGCCTATCCCAGCAGTTCAAGTGCTATGACTAGTTGTGCCCAAGTTATTATAGATGATTAATGGTGATGTATTTGTCCATGTGAATCATGCAAGTACTACAGATTGTATCATTGATTTCTGAGTGCTGGTTATGTTGGATTGATGGAAGATTTCAATAGCTTTGTTTGCTGGGGTGGGAATATGTTTGGGAGGCTGTATCAATGTGCAGGAGTTCAGTATGAACCGGAATCTCCAGGCCCATAATGTATTGCTGCTTCACACAGTTTGCAATATTTCCTCTGGGGAACAGCCCAACCACCCCCTGCCCCAGATACATGCCTGCTCACCCTTGCCCCTTGTTTACCCCTCAGGGGACAAGGAGAGGGAGCCATTACCCAGGCTGAGAGAAATGCTTGGATGTACTTGCTGGATGTTGAACTGGGTACATCTGGTTATGACTGCTTCACAGCAATGAAAAGAATCCAGGGCCCCTTTGGAGGGGAACTGCGACCAAGTTAACTCCTGAGTGGGGTTGTGGATGTTGGACACCGAGTTTGGGAGAGGGTTTGTGGCATTTGGATTTCTTGACGGGGGTAGGGAGAGATTCACCAGCATTCACCTGATCCTCTGAGGCTGACCTCAGCATTCCAGATTACCTTGGGGCTGATTCTGGGCTTTGGGAAGAATCTCAATGGTTGCCCTAACTCCCCATTTTCTCATGTACTGTAAAATTTCTGATCGTATTTTTTAGAGGGAGCGAGCAGGGGTTGCTGGGCAGTCTTGAATTGATTTGTTAATTTTGGTGCTCTTCTGATGTTCATTTCTATGGAGGGTTACTGATCATTTCTGGCATATTCAGCTGGCTGCTGTATTCCTCTCTTTCTGGTTTTTATACATGGATTTTTTTGAGATAAAATGTTCCTACTGGAGATTCTTTCCCTCTCATGCCAAATACAAAGCTTTTGGATTTAAGCACATTGTTTTCTTGTGTCTAAACTGCTGCTGGCTCATTCGCTATGCTGTCCATGTGAACAGGCGAAAACAAACATGAATCCTTCAGCATATGTGGCACTAACATGCAGGGGGGTGGTGTTCCCGTGTATCTGCTGCCTTAGTCTTTCTAGATGGAAGTCGTTGTGGGTTTGGAAGGTGATGTCTGAGAATCTTTGGTGAATTTCTGCAGTGCATCTTGTACAAAGTACACACTGCTGCTATTGAGCGTCAGGGTACTGTCAGAAGTGGGTAGTTCTCCCCAGTGACCTACAGCTAATATTTATCCCTCAACAACATCACTAAAATAGATGACATCATAGTGAATTTAGCTGTCAGCCAGGTGGACTTCACAGAATCTGAGTTCCCTGATTAGGCTGTTTATCTGGTCCAATCAGGGAGCCCTGGCAGGCAGATAAAAAGAGTACAAAAACAAAGTTGCTGGAAAAGCTCAGCAGGTCTGGCAGCATCTGTGGAGGAGAAAACAGAGTTAACGTTTCGGGTCCGGTGACCCTTCCTCAGAACGGTTCAATAATGTTAGGGCCTGAGCACCTTCTTCCCTGTCCTTTATGGGGTGGTGGTCAGTGTGGATGCTGGGGGAGGGGTCAGTGTGGATGCTGGGGG